GCCTCCTCACATTTGACAATTGTGATCAGCTGCCTTTCCCCTCTGCCCAGAGAAAGGCAGCTTCAACAATGCCTTTATCTCCTTAGGGAAAGTGTTCCTCCTACTCACACTCAGCGAGATCCCAACAAAAATCCCTTCTTCCTAAGTTGTCAATGTCACTGTCTTTTTTAAAGTTATTTATTTTCAATGACAGTAGATAGTCAATATTAGTTTCGGGCGTACAGCACAGTGGTTAGACACTTATATAATTTACGAAGTGATCCCCCCATCCCCAATTAGTCTAGTACCCACCTGACACGATATATAGTTATTACCATATCACTGACTATATTCCCTATGCTGTACCTTACATCCCCATGACTATTTCATAACTACCAATTTGTACTTCTTAATCCCTTCACCTTTTACACCCAGTTCCCAACCCCCCTCCCACCTAATTGTCACTGTCTTCTTTAAAAAAAGCAAAAACTTGTCATTATAAATAGAAGAAATAAGGGGAAAGTCTCTAAGTAATTTAGGTTATAATCCAGGTAAAAAACAAAAAACAAAAAAGGTTAATAGGACAACAAAAATTATTGATAAAACTTAGCATGAGAGAACAGCTATTTTAGTGGTCCCTGATTCTTCACCCTATCTTTATAACAATGGATACCACCACTCTAGTCAACTCTGCCTAGTTTCTGGGATCAGACAGCCTTGGTCTCAGGTTTCAGAAAGCAGACTCATTCCAGGTGAGGGCCACTTCTAAAAGCAAGCATCAGCAAAGCCTAAGTTCATTCTCCAGACCAAATACTTTGGACTTGAGGTTCTTCAGTTCTCCTTGGATCTTATGTGCCCGTCTGTTGCTGTCGCGGACCTCACACAGAATGGCGAGGTCCTGGTTTGCCCGGGCATTAAGCGTTGCCTAGAGATTTGTAAAAAAAGAGGAAATGGTTACAGCATATGCCAGGGGAGAGACATCAGCCATAAAGACTAGACTACACTGGCTCCTTTTTATGAGATTTTTGACACAAAGGATAGATTCAATCCTTCTTTTCTCTAGTGACTAAAAGGAAAATGTAGAGTAAAATTAAAGCAGAAAAGGCAGGAGACTCTGCTTTTCCATACACCAGGGAAGGAGCCTTGAGATAGATAATGAACAATTAACAATGAGTAAAAAGAAGAGACCAATATAAAAATTACTGGTAAATTTACCAAAGAATAAAAGAAAGCACGTCTTCTTTTCTATAATCAACTTTGGAACGTAGTGATCACTTAAGATACGTGGATAACTGGTTAAACCTCCTTAATAAGGCTCTTAAGGCAACTTTAAGGCTGATTCTGATAGGGAAAAATTACTGTATTACTCAACTACTCACTTTCCCCACTTGTAAAAGTTTTTTTAATCTACTTCTTGAATTGGGAGGGATAAAAATTTCTAGGTTTGGCTTAGATGAGAGTATAATGATGCAATCAATTATTGGGTTGTCGGAAAAGTCATCACGTATTTTTCTGTTTTTTTGTTGCAAAAACGCGTCATGACTTTTCCAACAGCCCAATATTTCAGCCTATTTTTGTCCTCCCTTTAGTGTGTCCTTGTTAAACCAATTTTAGTGGGGTTCACAGGATGGCGATCCATTAGCACCACCATCAGGGAAATAACACATCTTTCTTCATGACATGTTGCCTCACTTGCACCCCTTTTCTCTCTTTTAGTAATTCAGGATCAGCAATTACCTTATAGAGCATTTGCTCCAAGTCCTTCAGTTTCTGCCGGAGAATCTTAACATCTGTCTTAAAGCCTTCGACTTCCAAGACACGCCGATTCTCCAAGGCCTCATAGCGTTTTGTCATTACCTGTAAACGCTTCCCCATCTTGTTAGAGCGATCCTAAATTTTGGGAAATGGGAAAGGATTTATGAAGATGAGGGAAGCATTCCTCGAGCCATCGCACTTCCCACTTTATCATAAGTGGCTGAGAATTTTGTACCTTGAAGATCTCTCTCCTCACTCCCTCTTCCTCACGGATTCGGGCAAGTTCTTCTTCTAGGGAAATGCACTGCTTTTGGTACATGTTAGACAGCTTTTTCTCTTGTACTAACTTATCCTTTAGGGACTGCAGGTCAAAAGGGAAAATAATTAATACTCGGTTCTATAATTTAGGTCATTCAAATAGCACTTAGGTAAAGAAAGGAAGGATTTCCGGAAGTACAAAATGAGTTAAGGAGCAAGAGAACAAGGAACTTTGGAGAACATTTGAAAGAGGATTCTCTTAACCTTTTTCTAAAGTGTACATAGTAGAAATTCCTTAAAATAAAACAAAGATTTTCAGCTCTGGGAAGAGTAGATAATGGAGCTCAGAAGTATCCCATGTAAGACATGATGATAGTTGGCCCTCCGTACCCATGGGTTCCACATCCAGACTCAACCAACCAAGGAACAAAAATATTCCACAATAAAGTTACACTGTTACTGACATATACTACATAGTTAGGACTACTGAACATGTACAGACTTTTTTTTCTTGTCATTATTCCCTAAACAATACAGTATAACAACTATTTTCATAGCATTTACAGTGTAGTAGGTATTATAAGTAGTGATGATTTAAAGCTTAGGTTATATTACAAATATTGTGCCATTTTATAAATGGGACTTGAGCCGCCGTGGATTTTTTTTTTTTTTTTAGTGAGCCATCCTCACACCTGTTGGCAGCCGAGTGGCTCGGTTGGTTAGGAGCTTGTTTAAGAGTGCGAGCTCTGAGCAACAGGGTTGCCAGTTTGATTCCCACATGGGCCAGTGAACTG